TGGAGGAGACGGAAGAACTGGCAGGATGGGGGGAGTGGAGAGCTTACCTGCTCCTGCTGGTTCCTCCTCCGCCTGCTGATTTTGCAGCCCCCCCCCCCGCGAGTTTCGCGGGTCTTCTTTCTTGTTAAATTCTAATACTAAAAAGTAGCTTATATCATAAAGCTCTTGTAGGTGTGCTGAATCTATGTATCAGTTTTTATTTTGGTCCATCAGGGAATTTGACAGAATATTTTTACAGAATATTAAAATATTTAAATCTCCTTATTCCATCAAGATATGTTATTCTACTTCCACCAACAGGTGTCACCTTTTTATAGTACAAATTCTGTATTTCTAGTTGACCCTTTTAATTGATGCCAAGAGTCATAATTAATGACTTTTGTTCTTGGCTGAACTTACACACATCTGGTCATTATTTTTAACTTTAAAAACACACACTTTGGAACATCTCCTGACTTTGCTCGTTAGTTCTGACCTGCCCATGATTTATGGGGTTTTTTAATGTTGGCAAGGTTTTCTACACACCTGGTATAAAGATTTCTCTTTAGGCAAACAGTCTTAGTCTTAAGCTTACTTTCTATAGCAAAGCTTTCAATTAATAAAGAATAGTTGCTTTTACAAATATCTTATACATATTCAGTCTTAAACATAACATAAAGTTCTAAAAACACATACCAATTCATTAAGCAAAGCTTTCTGTTATTCCAATAATCCAATAGGCAAACATACATACATAGACATTGCTCAAAGCATCTAATAGTTCAATATGTTAGAATATAAACATGATCTGGGCTTCTCTCGTTCAGAGTTGCTACACAAAGCAAAAGCTGCTTTAAACGTTTCACCTCTAATTTGGCTAATTTCTACTTTTCTTTGAAGCAAAGGATTCTATAATAAATCTCGAAATTGTGACAGCTCTTAATTGGAAGTTGGCAAAGAATTAACAGGGGAGAAACTTCTGCTCATTAAAACTCAAACACTCCCTATTTCTTTAAAACAAGGGCTAGAAAAACATATCAATTTAAAAAAATGATTTAGATGTCTCCCCACCTGACATTCAAACCTGGTACAAAAAGTTGTGGAATCAGTTCATCATGGAAAGTATCACAGATAAAGTTAACAGAAATAAAAGGAACATTGCACACTTTGGGTTCGAAGCTAAATGGTTTCCAATTCTAGAAGCCCTATCAGAAGAAAAATTCATTTCAGCATCCTGGAATAACTATATTAAATGGATATAATGACTTATATATGGTTCAACTGAATATTGTTAATTGAAACAACATAGATATAGCACACTACTGATATCCTCACTGTAAATTGATTAGGATCTATGGGTTGCATTTTGTTTTTCACATTGTTCGGTCCACTATTGAATGCCAATTGATAGTTTTGATGGCAGAAGGCACTTTACTGAGTTAAAAACACCAAACAGAACAGGCTTTAATTAAAATACATGGTAAAAGCAAGTTATTTTGTTCAAAAGTTTATTGAATTATATATCATTTCTCACTGCTTACATTTCTTATTAATACTGTACTGTTTAAAATGTTTAACTTTTCTTCAGATCATTATGTACATTGCTAATGTTATCAGCATTTTGATTGTTATGTTTCATCAATACCATTTTATTCTACTAATAAAATGTTACTAAAAATAATGATTTAAACTACCTGGTGTTATACAATACAGACAGTGCTTAGTGGTTTAAACAGGTTGTCAACTCTTCCAGGAGAGTCCCAGAGAATTTCTCCCAATAACCCTGGGCACGTCCTACAATGTTATAGAGTCCAATTTCCAAAGTGGCTGTTTTCTCCAGGTGAGTTTATCTCTGTCACCTGAAGATGAGTTGTAATAGCAGGAGACCTCCAAGCACCACCTGGAGGCTGGCAACTTTACCAGAGGAACTGGTTGGCCACTGAGTGAGGCAGGATGGTGGACTAGATGGACCACTGGTCTGATCCAACAAGGATCTTCTGATGTTCTTCTTAGAAGGAAGCCTCTATGCCCTGCTGTTGGCCCTCCAGAGGAACTGGTTGGCCACTGAGTGAGGCAGGATGGTGGACTAGATGGACCACTGGTCTGATCCAACAAGGATCTTCTGATGTTCTTCTTAGAAGGAAGCCTCTATGCCCTGCTGTTGGCCCTCCAGAGGAACTGGTTGGCTACTGTGTGAGGCAGGATGGTGGACTAGATGGACCACTGGTCTGATCCAACAAGGATCTTCTGATGTTCTTCTTAGAAGGAAGCCTCTATGCCCTGCTGTTGGCCCTCCAGAGGAACTGGTTGGCCACTGTGTGAGGCAGGATGGTGGACTAGATGGACCACTGGTCTGATCCAACAAGGATCTTCTGATGGTCTTCTTAGAAGGAAGTCTCTCTGCCCTGCTGTTGGCCCTCCAGAGGATCTGGTTGGCCACTGTGTGAGACAAAATGCTGGACTAGAGGGACCACTGGTCAGATCCAGCAGGGGTCTTCTGATGTTCTTAAACAATCTAAAAGTCCCAGGGGGGGTGGGTGTTCAGACATCTTAGAGATTCCCTGTTTCGACAGATCTGGTTTCAACATGGGATTGATCTTCACCAGTTTTTGGAGTTCCTTGAGAATGCAAACAAACATGGAGACAACCGTGATCCAGTAGGCATTATATATCTGGACTTTTGACAAGGTAGCTCACCAAAGACCCCTGAGTAAACGTAGTAGCCATGGGATAAGAGGACGGGTTGCCTTATGGATTGAAAAAAATGGTTAAATGTCAGGAAGCAAAGAGCAGGAATAAGTGGACAGTTTGAGCTGCGGTGGCTCAAGTGGTTAATATATGCTGAACTGCAGGCTGTGGAAGGTCAGTAGTTCAGCAGTTCGAGACCCGGGTGCCGCATGATGGAGTGAGCTCCCATCTCTAGTTCCAGCTCCTGCCAACCTAGCAGTTCGAAAGCAAGAAATTGCAAGTAGATAAATAGGTACCACTTCGGTGAGAATGTAACAGCGTTCTGTGTGCCTTGGTGTTTAGTCATGCCGGCCACATGACCATGGAAACGTCTTTGGACAGCGCTGGCTCTTCGGCTTGGAAATGGAGATGAGCACCGCAACCCTTGAGTCAGATTCAACTGACTTTGGAGAAAGGGATCCTTTACCTTTTTACCTTGTTTATTTAGTTAATATCCCACCCTCTGCATCAAGCAGGCTCAGGGCAAGTCACAACATGTCAATAAAATACATAGAATCCATGGCATTCAAAACAATAATAATCCAGATTAGCAAATAACAACAATTTGCTAATCAGATCTAAATTGACAGCTGATCCATGATTTCAGGTGCATTTCCCGGGGCGTGTCAGAAAGGGCCACGAGCACTAAGCCCTGATGCAACCCTTCCTGCCCTCCCTCTCACAATCCACCTGTGTGCAGAAATATCAAAGAGTCTGCAATTCAGTCCAGGGGAACTCATCTTTTATGTTGCAAAACCGTTTCTCATTCAGCAACTTCAGCAGGCTGACTGCCAGTGCGAGGAACTGTGCTGTATAATCTGTTAATGAGAAGGCGGGTGTGCAAAGCCTGTTAAGAAATTTGCCTTTCGTCATACGAAGGTGTTCTTGCTGCAGTTTTTCCGGGCAATCAGAAAGCCGGGGCGACCTCATGCAAGCGGCTGGCGGGACAGACACAAGAACTCGGTGCCCTAACTTGCCTAATTGGGCACGACGTTTGTCAGATGCTTACGCTAGGTCTGGGGAGAGACATAACATCACACACTGTAAGGTGAGGATACAGCTCAGCAGAATCGTAACAGTACACTTGCCAACTCCAGATTGGGTAATTCCTGTAGATTTGGGGGTAGAACCTGGGGAGGCAGGGTTTGGGGAGGGGAGGGACCTAGAGGGGTATAATGCCATCCAGCCCACCAGCCAAAGCTGCCATTTTTTCCTGGGGGAACTGATCAGTGTTGGCTGGAGATCAAATGACATTCTGGGAGATCTCCAGGCCCAACTTAAGCTTCTACATAAGAACATCAGAAGAGCCCTGCTGGATCAGGCCAGTGGTCCATCCAGTCCAGCATCCTGTCTCACACAGCAGCCAACCAGTTCCTCTGGAGGGCCAAAAACGGCATGGAGGCCAAGGCTTTCATAAGAACACCAGAAGAGCCCTGCTGGATCAGACCGATAGTCCATCCGGTCCAGCCTCCTGTCTCGCACAGCAGCCAATAATTTCTTCTGGAGTGCCAACAACAGGGCAGAGAGGCCGAGGCCTTCCCCTGAGAAGAACATCGGAAGAGCCCTGCTGGATCAGACCAGTGAGGGTCCATCCAGTCCAGCATCCTGTCTCACACAGCAGCCATCCAGTTTGTGGTGATTCCTAGAGCTACCCATTGTCACTTACAGGTCATATGCAGAAGTGATATACCGGCACAGAGGCCCGGCCTCTAGGGGAGACATTTGACACCTGAATGGCCTCGTTGGTTATTGTTCAACTGTTGGCTTTTGAAACCTTTTGAGAAAGGTTACGAAATGTTCTTAGGGTTCCAATCGGATGCGCTGCCATGAGGTAAGTGTTGTGACCGCTGACCGCCACCAGGGGCCATCGAACACTCCAGAGCTTGACTCTGGAGGAACAATGGGGACTAGCCTCCTGGTCTCTCCACTGGGGGACCAATGGGACCGTGGCAGGAGATTTAAACCCACCAACGGGACCTAGGGGTGTGTCCCCAGGTGTGTATATAGATGGCCAGCCGGTCGTTTGTCTTTGTGGTGTACCAGTAAACCATGCTGATCACTACATCAGTCTCAGTGGTTTCTCCATGCGTCTAACCCACTACACTTCAGTAAGTTTTGTGGTGAGCGACTAGAACACAGAGATCACTGAGGCAGGAGTAGTCTGTAAATGACAAAGGTTTATTGATTCACAGATTGGTTTTAAAGAACACATCTGCAGCATAGACCTCCAGGTAGTCAGAGGGGAAATCTGGCTGAGGCACATCCGTTTAAGCTAGGGTTGCCAAGTCACTTACCTCGTCCGGTGGGGGAGTCCTCGTCCCCTCCTGGGACATTCGTGCATGCGCATAGTGTGCGCGCGCCACTGTGACGCCACCCGGAGGTGACGTCATCACGCCGGGGTCGTCACCGGGCGACGCTCTACCAGTTGCCCCCAAAACTCTATGGTACCATACCATAGAGTTTTGGGGGGCGACTGCTAGAGCGTCGCCTGGTGGCGTCATCACGCTGGGGGCCTGGGCCTGATCCGGCAGTTTCGGGGGTGGGGTTCCCCCGGCGGCCCGATCCCCGCCAGCGGATTTGGGGCCGTTTCAGCGGGGGCTTGGCAAGCCTAGTTTCAGCTGGTTATGGCTTCAGAGTGTGGTTTGCATTCTCTTTAAGGCCTGTAGGTACAAACAGGCTTTTACGGCCTAGCCACTAGGCCGGATCCTTCCACGCACAGAGGATTCCACCCACAGCAGCTTGCCCTTTCCCAAGAGTCAGACTAAACGGTACAAGGTCCGCTCCTCCCCTGAAACAGGCCTCAAACTAGTCAGCCACACTCCCAGACAGAAGCTAGGGTTGCCAAACTCCAGGTGTGGCTGGGAGATCTCCCGGAATTAGGACTGATCTCCATACAACAGAGGTCAGTTCCCCTGGAGAAAATGGCTGCTTTGGAGGGTGAACTTACTGGCATGAGACCCTCCTGAGGCCTTTCCCCAAAGCCCACCTCCCTCTGGCTTAGGGTTCCCAAGTCTGTTTTGCTCTGCAGCGGGGAGCTCCCGGATGGCGTCTTGAGTGGAAAACATAGAGGGGAACATATAGTTTTCCCCTCAGATGGCTGTGGCCCCTCCCCCAGCGTGCCCGGCGTCATCACATCACCTCTGGCTGACGTGCACGTCGGGGTGGGGTTCCCCCCCCGGGGCCCGATTCCGCGGCGGAAATCGGGCCTCCAAAATGGGGGTTTACCTGCCCCCCGGGGGGACTTGGCAGCCCTACTCTGGCTCCACCCCCAGAGAGCCAGTTTGTTGTAGTGATTAGGAGTGTGGATTTGATTTCCCGGGTTTGATTCCCCCACTCCTCTACATGCAGCTGCTACTGTGACCTTGGGTCAACTACAAGTTCTTTCAGAGCTGTTCTCTCGAGGGCAGTCCTCGCGACAGCGCTCTCAGTCCCCACACACACACACCTCACAGGGTGTTTGTTGTGGGGAGGGGAAGGGAAGGGGGATTGTAAGCAATGCTCCCTCTAAGCTGTGGAGTCCCGTGAGCAAAAATTCCACTTTGTGAGCTACCGCCATTTAAGTTGTGAGCGGGCGGTTTGGCTACTGCATAAACCAGTTGGCTCTGGAGCCCTCCTTCCTGAGCTAAGACAAAAAATGTGCAAGCCGGAGGCTAAGAAACTGTGAGCTAGCTCACACCAAATCAGCTTAGAGGGAACACTGATTGTAAGCTGCTCTGAGACTCCTTCGGGTAGTGAAGGGTGGCGTATAAATCCAATCTCTTCTTCTTCTTCTTCTTCTTCTTCTTCTTCTTCTTCTTCTTCTTCTTCTTCTTCTTCTCTCGGTTTTCCTGAACTCAAAGCAGGCAAACATAGGAACTTTCCCTCAAACTGTTTGCTCTTTTGCTGGGGCAGACCCAAACTACCTGGAGCAGACCTGAGCTAAATCCTGCTGTGCTTCTTTCCAACATTCCTTTCTGAAAGGTGATTGGATGCTGGACCAGCCCTCTCATAGGCTCAGGGATGAAGCAGCTGAGTTTTTCCCATCAGGGAAAGCCATTCCTTCTTGCCTGGTTTTAAAAAAAAAGAGTAGACTGCCTTTAAATATGGAGGTTCCATTGTGCCGCCATACAGAAATCTCTCAGAGCTTCGTCTATGGCGAGTCTGTCAATCCAGCCAGCCAGAAATCTGTTAGCAAAACAATAGCTTTGGGGGGGGTGCCAGTAATAATAATCATTTAGCAGTAATAATAATGTAGTAGTAATATAGTAGTAATTTAGCAGTAACAATAAACATTACGGCGGAAGACAGGAAGGCCTGGCGGGATCTGGTCATAAGAACATAAGAACATAAGAGATGCCAATGTTGGATCAGGCCAAAGGCCCATCCAGTCCAACACTCTGTATCCCACAGTGGCCAGAAATACCAGTGCCATCAGGAGGTCCACCAGTGGGGCCAGGACATTAGAAGCCCTCCCACTGTTGACCCCCCCCAAGCACCAAGATGACAGAGCATCACTTGCCCCAGAGTCCCTATCTATACCTTGTGGCTAATAGCCACTGATGGACCTCTGCTCCATATGCTTATCTAATTCCCTTTTGAAGCCGTCCATGCTTGTAGCACCCACCACTTCCTGTGGCAGTGAATTCCAAGTGTTAATCACTCTTTGGGTGAAGAAGGACGTCCTCAGTATTCCAGATGAGGTCGCACCATTGATTTATATAGCGGCATTATGATATTGGCTGATCTGTTTACAATACCCTTCCTAATAATCCCCAGCATAGCATTGGCCTTCTTTATTGCAGTCACACACTGTCTCGACATTTTCAGTGAGTTATCTACTACAACTCCAAGATCTCTCTCTTGATCTGTCTCTGCCAGTTCAGACCCCATCAACGTGTATTTATAGTTAGGATTTTTGGCTCCAATGTGCATCACCTTGCACTTGGCCACATTGAACCCCATTTGCCATGTTGACGCCCACTCGCCCAACTTTGACAGATCCCTTTGGAGTGCCTCACAATCCTCACTGGTTTTCACCACCCTGAACAACTTCGTATCATCCGCAAATTTAGCCACTTCACTGCTTACTCCCAACTCCAAATCATTAATGAACAAGTTAAAAAGCAGTGGACCAAGTACTGATCCCTGTGGTACCCCACTGCTTACACCCCTCCACTGGGAGAACTGCCCATTTATACTCACTCTCTGTTTTCTATTAATTAGCCAGTTTTTGATCCATAAAAGGACTTGTCCTTTTATCCCATGATTTTTGAGCTTGCTTAGGAGCCTTTGATGAGGAACTTTATCAAAAGCTTTCTGGAAGTCAAGGTAAACAATATCTATTGGATCCCCCTTGTCCACATGTTTGTTCACCCCCTCAAAGAACATTAACAGGTTAGTGAGACAAGATCTTCCCTTACAGAACCCATGTTGAGTCTGCCTCAATAGGTTTTGTTCATCTATGTGCCTACTAATTCTTTCCTTAATAATGGTTTCCACCAATTTACCCGGTATCGACGTCAGACTGACAGGCCTGTAATTTCCCGGATCTCCTCTGGAACCCTTTTTAAAGATGGGAGTGACATTAGCTACCTTCCAGTCCTCAGGAATGGAGGCTGATTTTAAGGAGAGATTACATATTTTTGTCAGGAGATCCACAAGTTCACAACTGAGTTCTTTCAGAACTCTTGGATGTATGCCATCTGGGCCTGGTGATTTATCAGTTTTTAAGTTGTTTATCAGTTTTAGGACCTCCTCTCTCGTCACCTCAATCTGACTCAGGTCTTTCAACACCCCTCCCGAACTCAGCGGCTCTGGAGTGGGCAAGCACCTCTCATCTTCCACCGTGAAGACGGAGGCAAAAAATGCATTTAGCTTCTCAGCCATTTCCCTATCATCCTTCAGTACTCCTTTTACCCCTTGGTCATCCAAGGGCCCCACTGCCTCCCTGGCTGGTTTCCTGTTTCTAATGTATTTGAAGAAAGTTTTTGAAGAAAGTGGTCCATGGGGTCGCAAAGAGTCGGACTCGACTGTGTGACTGAACGACAACAACAATAAACGTTAACGAGTGGTGAATTTCTTGATGAGGGATTATTATGTCAGATTTAAAAAATTAAATCGGCAATTCCCGTGCAGCACGGCTGAAAGTAATGAGAGGCTAGGCGGCAAACCACCACTTAGGGAAGTGAAAATTGCAAAGTCACTGATTAAATCGATTTTAATTATAGATGCATCGATGCGGCTGCCCCCGTCGGAGCAAAAGTGCCAATCCGCCGGAGGCCACTTAATCGCCGATCACTCCAGACGCTAACTTCTCTCGCTGCCAGTAATGACAAATCGTGAATCACGAAACGTTTGGTATTAGAGCAACAGCGGCTCTGACATGAGTACAACCGGCCGAGGGCTGGGCGTAGGGTGAACAACCCTAGGTAAGGAAATCCCTGGAGATTTGGGATGGAGTCTGGGGAGAGCGGGGTTTGGAGAAGGGAAGGACCTTGGGTATAATGCCATAGACAGAGGTGTCCAAGTCATTTGTTGCAAGGGTCGGATCTGACACAAATGTTACTTGGTTGGGCCAGGCCATGTGTGCCATTAAATGTAAAGCAAGATATTAGAGGAGGAGGAGGAGGAGAGGAAGACGAGGAAGAAGAAGAAGAAGAGGAGAGGGAGGAGAGGGAGGAGGAAGAGATTCGACACTTTAGGAAAATGAATAATTGATAGAAGATGAGGAGAAAGAGGAGGAGAAAAAGAGGAAGTAGAAGAGGAGGAGGAGGAGGAGAGGAAGGAGGAGGAGATGAAGATTTGACACTTTAGGAAAATGTATAATTGATTGTTTATGTTTCATGTATGTTTTAACTGTAATTTTATATATGCATTTTATGTAAGCCTCCTTGAGCTCGCCTTGGGGGGAGGGTGGGGTATAAATCGAACAAATAAATAATTAAAAAGAAGAGTTGTGGCAATAATTGCGGCCTAGGGATCTTCAGAATTACAAAAGACTTCCAGACTACAGAGGTCAGTTCCCCTGGAGGAGGAGGAGGAGGAGGAGGAGGCGGAGCAGGAGGAAGAAGAAGAAGAAGAAGAAGAAGAAGAAGAAGAAGAAGGAGGAGGAGGAGGAGGAGGAGGAGGAGGAGACACAAACAAGACCTGTCAGAGCTGGGTAGTAAGTAATTTTATTGCTGCCCACCCACACGTGAAGGTTAAAACATGGAGAGTTCCACCACATCTGTGGCGGAGTAATAACTTTCTGAGAACGATGCTCCAAGCTGGAACTCAACCGGTCAATGAGATGCTGCTCCACCAGATGGTGCCGGGGAAAACCAATGCTGTTGGCATCAGGAGCAGATGGCCCCAGGAACAACCCAGGAA